GGACCTGTTTCTCCACTAAGTAGCACTGTAGGTGTAGGTAAACACAATGCAGCCTCATAGTTAACCACCAACCGACCAATCGCTTTATAAGTATCCTACAAGGTTACTTTATCCACGTCCCAAGTGCTGCCGTCTAACACTTTGACGGCCATGTTTCCACTCCGCAACTTATGCGTGATGAAGCCGAGAGTTAGTTTTACATAGATTCCTTGTCCATGTAATAAACAATGTGATTGACGACTTCGCTGATGCAAGTTTGCAGATTACGCACATTGCAGAGCTAATGCAATAATGTAATATGCTATGGGTGGTTCGATCTAGGAACCAATCGATCTAGAAACCAAGTGTAACACAATCTAAGTTTGTCGTTCTTTTAGTCGACCTCCTAATTTTCATGTGGAAGATCTTGTGATCTTCTATTGTATCTGTGCAAAAGCTATTGCTCTTGGGGAAAAGTTCATCATAGGGGAATTACCATAAAAATTAATCAAAAAGTAAAAATATTCTTTAAAAATTGTAATAATCACCTCAAAATGTTTCCACTACTGTCAAACGCATAACAATTGTTGTAAATACACAAACACAAAACTGTCAAGCGAAAAAAAAAGTTGGAAAAACCCGCTGTGCAAAGCAGAAAAAAATCACACAATTTAGCAAAACAAATAAAAAACAAAAGATAAATAAAAAAATACAAATAAATATTAAATAAAAAATGTAGATACATATAAAATCCCTACAAACATTTTCTATTGCGGAAGTTACCCGTGTGAAACTTCCAAACGTGCTAAAAGCTCGCCAGCGATGTTGCGGAAGTATAAGAATTCTTGTCACCAGTCGGGAAGAACTGATGCCGAGCTGGGGAACGTCTAATAGTAACTTGGAAGATACTTCTGGAAGACCCGCAGAAGAAACTTCTAGATGACTCTTGGAAGTAAGGTATTGCCAAAGACTCTTCTAGATGTGACTAGGAAGTCACTTCTTGAAGTGACTACCTAGTATCCTCTAGAAGTGTTCCTATCTTATCTTCTAGAAGATGAGTTTTCTCTTCTTCTAGAAGAAGAGTATTCTCTTCTTCTTGAAGAAGAGTATTCTCTTCTTCTTGAAGATGAGTATTCTCTTCTTCTAGAAGATGAGTATTCTCGTCTTCTAGAAGATGAGTTTTCTCTTCTTCTATTTGTATACTCACCAAAATAAAATCTATAAAAATAAATCTAAATAAAATGAAATTTTATAGTTTTTATTGAATTAATTGAAATTAAAATAGTAGAAAAAATAACAGATTTAACAACTAATCTAAAAAAAGTAATATATGTACATTAGACCGACTCGCAAAAAATGGTGCTTGAGTTACCCCCCTCATAATATTCGCTGTTATGTAATATGATGTTACCCAAAATATTTTCGGTTAAGTGTTGTCCATTCGTGAGCTGGACAGTTTTAAAGAAAATATCGTATGGGAACACGATTCTTCATGTTAAATTCAATATTTTATCCAGCTTCAAAAAATCTTTGTTATGTTTTATAATGGTTCCCAAAATATTTCTAGTCTATCGGTGGCCGTTCGTGAGCTGAACCGGTTACAAAAAAGTCCCTTTTTAGTTATTTTGTTTTAAATTATACAGCATTTCTTAAACAATATATACAGTATGTGGTATCATTTGAAAGGTTTTTTGAAGCCAAGTCTAGTGGTGCGCAAAATTTGCAAAATTGTGCATATATTTAATTTTTCTTAGTAAAAACCTAACAATTTTAAATATTTTGGAATATGACAATTATAAGCAAACGGTTATTTATGATTAATACATCATTGGACGCGACTTTAAAATACCTTTTAAACGATACCCCGTATTGGATATTTTGTTTCAAAACAAACAAAAATTTAAAAAAAATAATTCCAAAATACCTTTTTTTAATTTGGTTCAGCGGTCACTTAAAATATTTTGGGAATCATCATAAAACAAAGCAAGGTAAATTTTGGGAGGGGTAACAAAAACATGTTTTTGCTTTCCATACAGAGGGAGTCGGTCTAATGTACATATGTATCAAAAATTTAGAATTATTACCTTATAATAAGATAATTTTCAGGGAATCTGTATTAATATTCCAACTGCTGACTGGTATACTTCCAAAAATTGTAAAACGTTGGACTCTAAAATATTTTTGTAGTTCTTAATCAATTTTATGATTAATCCATCAAATTGTAAGAGTTATATTATGGAACGCATTAATCCTTCAACGAAATAAACCAAAATAATGTTATAATTAATATTGAATATACATACTTTTGTATTTATAGAAATTACCAGTTATACTTTAGGAAGCAATAAAAATAGGATTCTCTCATGTCCAATACATTTACCACCAAAGTTTAAACGGTCAGATCCATTTTTTACATTTTCTGCAAATAATCGACATTTTTAGTAGAACCACGTGATGAAATAAGACATTTATAACTTACCAGATCCCTTTTTTATATTTTAATTCAGTTAGAAGTATTTTAATATTAGCTACTGCTTTCTAAAAAATAAAATAATTAAAAATTAATTAATTTATTTATTTATTGTTTTGAATCAATAAAAACATTACCTTTCATGAACATTTTTTCAATAACTTGGAATTAAACCGTCTATAAAGATCTGAAATTACTAAGTCATGGATTATTTTTTAAATTATTTACAGTCACTAACGATAGAAACACCTTAACGACCCTAAACGGGATATTGCTTTTGACATTTTTTGTTTGCTCTCTTCTAATACTTAGGTTCAATATCTTGGGAACAGCATGCTAAATATTAAGAATATTAGTATCTTATGATAGGTCATAGAAAGACCTGGTGTTAATAACTAAAAAAGTACCTATAATTAGAATAATTAAATCCAAAGCTATATGGAAATTAATAAAATTGTATTTATTTAAAAAAGGTGGGTTTAAAACTATCTGATTTCAATATTAAATATCTTATATGGGCAATTTCGTGTCGAGTGACCCAAGTCAAAAAATAATTTATGTATAAAACAGTAGTATTAATTTCAATATAGTGATTCCAGACCTAAACGCGCAAATAGTTTTAAAAATATTGAAAGTTAAGATTTAACTCAAATAAATCTAAATATGTTAAAAATGCAATGTTCATCAAATGAAAGCCGAAATGTACAACTTGAAAAAGTCTTTAAATGCTTATACCTCCTAAACGAATTAAGAGAGAGTCGAAATTTAATATAAAAACATTTTTAATGAAACATATTAGACTTTTTTAAAAATAATGGAAATGGAAGCCGTTTAGAGTTGTTAACATATTCCTAAAATAGTATTTTAATATGACAACTTACTTTTTAATTTTATTTATATAATCCTTCCTTATACTTTTTGGTATATATTTAATACACTTCGCCAATTAAGAAAACCTTCTTAAATGTTTATTAACAGTTGATTTTTAACACAACACTGTCATATTGTTTTTTATTACTTAAGATTCACAATATTTTAATTACACTATTTTTCTATGAACATTAAATTCAAGAACTCATTTAAGTTTTACGATGAATAATTAAAACTGAACATGACTGAACAAAACACAAAACATCACTGAACTTAACAAAATTTCTGCATTATTTATTTTTATTTTTTTTTTTCACGCTAAAAAATGGAGTATTTATATTTTTTGTTTTTGTACTCTTCTTACTATCATCCGGAAGTAACCTAAAAGTATACTTCCAGACGGCGAAAACTAGAAATCAATGTATTTTGTTTTTGTAAAATGTGTGCTCTCGTCGGACAATTGTACAGAAGTGACTACAATCCACACTTCCAGATGAATAAAATACAACATTAATGTGAACACTCTTCAAACTGTCTTCCAGAAGTGACTTAAACATACAAATCAAGAAGATACAAATTAGGAAACAATGTATTTTGTTATTGTAAAATGTGTGTTCTCACCCAACTCTCATACAGAAGTCACTAAAACGTATACTTCCAGATGAAAAAAATTCAACAGGCATGGTTTTTTGTTTAAGCAAAATGGATGCACTCTTCTAACTATCATCCGGAAGTAACTTAAAAGTATATTTCTAGAAGACGAAAATTCGAAATCAATGTATTTTGTTTTTGTAAAATGTGCGTTCTCGTCTGACAATCGTCCAGAAGTGTTTCTGACGTGGCGTCTGGGGTGATGCGCAATAGTTTTCTCTTTTAAATGTTTGAAGGGATTTATCTTTATGGATTGTGATGAAATACTTATGCATAATTTTTTTTTTTTTTGTTTAACGGCGGAAATTCAAGACAAAAAAAATGGTGAAAAAATAATAATAGATTGAAAACAAAAACAAAAAAATTAAACAATTGCGTAGTCAGTACTTTTTCTGCTTTTATTGTTTAAATAACTGTGTTATTATTGTTGTTGTTGTTATTGGTGCTGCAGCTAAAGGAGGTGTTACGGGATTGACAAAACAACACAAAAGTTACAACAACAATATTAACCATTGAAACCGGACTTGGAAAATGCAGTACTATTGTACTTTTTTCAGTAACTATAGACTATAGTCTAGTCTATAATCTAGCCTAAAGTCAAGTTTAGTCTATATCTATTCTAGCGCAAAAGTAGTTTATTACTGTAAAAATTAAAAAAAGTACTGTTTTTGTTATAGTTAGTATATTTCAAAATATCAATTTTCCATGCCTGACTCACATACATTTATGTAGCGAAATAGAAGAGAAAAAAATCAAACAAAGTACAAAAACGAGAGAGAGAGAAAAGCAGGTGACTTTGATAAAACAAAAACAACAACAGCAACAACAACTTAATAAAATTATACAAGAAAATAATTTCAAGAAACAAACAATTAAAAAGAAAAGCAAATTAAAAATAAAAAAATTATTAATGAATATAAGAAAAACCTAAAGGTGATAAATTATAACCACAAAAGAGAAAGTCAACCAAAAGAAATATGAACAAAATGTAAAACAACAAAAGATATTTTTTATGGTCTTTTTTACTTACCGTGAAAAAATTCGTATTGTACGTGTTGTTGTTGGTGTTTGTTTTTCTATATGTACAATATTTTTTTTTCTGAAGATTCGTTAATAATCCTTTTAATCCAGTATTAAAAAATTGTTGAGCAAATAAAATATTTCTTGAATTTTGCTATAAACACTTTTATTTTTACGAAAAATTTGTTTTAAAATTATATTTTTCTTTTTGAATTGCTTTTTTCTACAGGTATTACTTTTCTTTTTTCATCATCTTTTTTTCTTCTTTCATTTGCACTGACTGATCATTTTTCGTGACGTTAATTTTTCTTTAGATTTTTTTTATTTTTCGTTTTATTTGCTTAATTTTATTTAATTTTAAATATATTTTAGCATATCTAAGCAATTTATTATGTTTTATAGTTTTAATTAGATAATTTTATTATTTTTTTGCAATAAAATCTATTAAATTTTCACTTTTTTATCCGTATTTCAATTTTATGGAAAGCAACAGGCGAAACTTCTACAAGAAAACTGTCAAATTTATGAGAGTTGAAAAACGTAAGTTGTCAATACCAGACACAGGGTGTTTCAAAGAAAAATATAATTTATTTTTAACTCGGTTACGTCAAGGCGGTTCTATAAATTACAAAAAAAAAATATTTAGGAAAATTTTGCGAATCTGTATAATTTATCATATGTAGAGTCTGGTTTAGAGTCCTAACTATAGTTGTACCAAATTTCCCACTAAATGGTCCATATATTTGTTAATAACATCTACAAATATACTGTGGCAAATTTCTTGGTTTAACTAAATTTCCAGCGATTTTCTTGTTAACTATAAAAAACGCTGCTTTGAAAAAATCCGTCTGGCATCACCCATGTGTCATTATTATTTGTAAACAACACAATAGATAAACACGTAAAATCACACAATTTCATAAATTTCTTAAAAAATATAAGAAAAAACGTTAAAAATCCACAGAAATATAATGGAAAAAGAGAAAACTGCTGCCGAAAAACTAGCCGAACGTAAGGAACGTCTACGTAGTCTGCACAAACTCAGACAGGAGGCTAGAACTCACAATCACCAGGAGGTCGTAGCAGAAGATGCTCGTAAAAAACTGCCCAACAATTGGGAGGCACGCAAGAGACAAGCAGACTGGCTGCTAGCAGATGAAAAGGCTAGAGAAGAAGCCAAAGCCGAGGGAAAAGACTATGATCGCCTGAAACTGCTAGAAGTTTCTGCCTTGGATGCTGAAAAGATAGAAAAGAAAAAGAAGAAGAAAAATCCTGATCTCGGTTTCTCCACCTTCGAAGCACAGACTGCCCGTCAATATAGTCGTTTAGTGAAAAATATGCCTGCTCGTGATATGGAAAAATATGAAAAACAGAAAGAGGAATTGGGTGAAGCTTTCTATGGCGGACCTAATACAATACTTCATGGACTGGTCAAGGATAAACCGTCGGCCATTAATAATATGGTTAAGGATTTGGAGCAACAGATTGATAGACGTAAGAAATACTCTAGAAGACGTATTTACAATGACGATGCCGATGTGGACTTTATCAATGAACGCAATTCTAAATTCAATAAGAAATTGGAGAGATTCTATGGTGAGCATACGGCTGAGATTAAACAGAATTTGGAAAGAGGTACGGCCATTTAGGCCAAGGCGAGAAGGAGGTGGTTAAAAGCAATACATTACGGGTATTTGTTTTTTATATATGCAGTAGTTTTAAGTAAAATCATAAAAAAGCTTCAACAGAAAAAAATTATATGCAGATAATCAGGGAATTGTTTAAAGTAAATTTAACAGCGTTCCTGTCAAAATGAAAGTTAATTTCCAAAAAAGTAATAAAATATAATAATGCCAAGAATGGAATGAACCAGGAGGCATTAAATACATCTTGGAATGAAGTGGTTTATTAAAAGATCAGGGAATCGTTACGGTAAATTGAAATAATAAGAAAAAAGTATAGCGTCTATAAGCCTTCCTATGAACACGCTTCGCGTTACAACTTTTAAATTTATCTAAGTCATCTAATCTTTTCAATCAAATGGTATTCCTTTAACTCTGAAAAAAGGTTTAGGACTATTAAAAGTCATCAAATCATTCCAACTTAAACCCAAATTTTTCTTTTAATTTCTTTTTACCCTTAAATTTGACGCTAGTGACACCGATACTTTAAAATTTTAGTTTTTTTACACTTTTTTTACTTTTTTCCCTTAATATTCTACTTTTTGCAATTTATTTTCCAACCTAACTACGAGTATTTACAAAAAATTAAAATTCTCCAATGACAATCTTTCCGCATCCTTATTTATCTGGGCCACTGGATCCTCGGATATTATTCTCACTACTGTATCATCCATATCATCATTGGGATTATCATCTAAAATACATAGTAAACCATCATCTTCATAGGTGGGAAAGAAATATTCCGGTTTATCCCATTGTTTCTGAGAACCTATGCCAAAATGTTCTTCCTCTTGTAAATGTTTTAACAACAATTCTTGGCTTTCAAAACGTCCATTGCAACTAACACAGCGCATAAGACACACCTGTCTTCGTATATAATTGACTACTTTGACTTTTTGATAGAAATTTAATTCCTTAAGAGCGGCCTCAAAATCTACTTTATGTTCCTGCAATAAATGTTGTTTGAAAGCGGGGAAATCTTGTGATTGTTGCTGACAATAGAGACAGTTTAAGGGTTGTACAGATTCATCATCACCATTCCAATCGGACCAATCAGAATCACTATCTTCCGATTTGTGGGCAAATCTTTGCTCAAAGTCCACACTATCAGCAGTGCGTTGTGAAGCAGATCTAGTTCTTTGGGTTGTCGTTGTTGTTGTTGACGTTGTTGTTGTTTCGGATTGTTTTTGTTTTGGTGTGTTTTTATGCCTTTTCTGTTGATTCCTGGTGTGTGTTATGTGATCGGGAAACTTGTAGTTTTGCAGAAAATATTTATCATAAGTTTTATTATTGGGATTTATTCTTTTATGAGCTTTCTTGCGCATATGTTCCTTGAGAGTGACACGATCTTTGAACACCTTCTCACAGTAAAGACAAATGAGATTTTCCAAATTATCTTGCACTTTACCTATAAGCTCATCTATGTAGATGAGATTCTCTGGTTTGCCCAATTGTAAAAAGTGCTTGGTGAACAAATGTTCCAAGTACAAAGAACGTAAACCGGTAATAACATCACGACAGTATAAACATTCCCTTGTGAAATTACGATCCGTCAATTCAAATTGATGTTGTGCCAAAGCCTTTTCCAAACGTTCTTTCTTTAGTTTGGTACGCAGCTCAAAATCCTTGGGTAATATATCACTTAATAAATAGTACTTTTCATTTTTGCCTGGTGAACCATCAGGCAGTTGATCTAACAGCATGGTGGTACAATATTCCTCCAATTCATGTTGTTCAAACTCTTTTTGCCAATACTTTAGATAATCCTCTAGCAAGGGTATTTCTCCTACATCAGCTATTACTAAACGATGGCTTAGGAATAGATGACCTAAGTAGTCATCTTGTTGTTGGGGAAATTGAAAAGTTTTCTCACATTTTACACATGTTATAAGACAGTTATCGGGTTTATTTTGTTGTGCTGATGAGTTTTGAAATGTTAATACCGGTAATATGGAACTTTTATTATTAGTTTCGGAAGATTTTTCCATTATATTGACAATTTTTTCGAGAAACAAAGAAAAAAAATAAAACGTGCGCAGTTTTCTTTGTTGGAGGAGGATAAAAAATCAAAACAAACTTTGACAATCAGCTGTCGATTTGTTTATGAGAAGGAAAATATAACAGGGTGTTTCAAAGTTTATTTATAAATAAACAGTAATGTTTTAAAGCAACCCTGCATTTGATAGCATTTTCTTGTGCAGTTAGAGAGTCTCCGGGCCCGGATTAAGTGAAAACATATAAAAGGGGACTTTTTAGTACTTTTTCGTTCTTCGACTGGTACTTTTTGAATTTTTTATAATATTGAACCTAGAAACATGAAATTAGGAATGTACAGCCCGGATTAAGTGATAACATATAAAAGGGGACTTTTTGGTACTTTTTCGTTCTTCAAAAGGTACTTTTTGAGTTTTCTATAATATTGAACCTATAGACATGAAATTAAACCTGTAGGGCATGGAGTAAGTGAGAACATATAAAACGGGACTTTTTGGTACTTTTTCGTTCTTCAACTGGTACTATTTGAATTTTCTATTATAATGAACCTAAAAACATAAAACTAAGCAATCAGGGACTTGAGAGAATGAAAATTTAAACTGGAGTATTTCTGGTAATTTTTCGTTCTTTAACTGGTACTTTTTGAATCTTCTAAAATATTGAATATATGAACATAAAATTAATTGAACGAAAATTTATCTCGCTTACGTCCATTTTGCAAAAAGAGCTCGATATCAATCGAAATCTCTATGGGCTATAATTGACCCTGCCCCCTTCAATAATTGATTTTAACGTTTTCTACATACTTAACAATACCATAATAAAACAATTTTTGTTGGATCGAAAATATGATCGAAATATGCACATAAATAGCTTTCAAATGTCGATGTCGATGACAAAAACATTTTTAGGAACCGAAACCTACATTTATGAAAAATAAAATTATGAGGATCGGTCCGCCAATATAACCCTCTTACAGAAAATCAGTTTATAGCTAATACATCATTCCAAAAGTTATCATTATGATAGAATTATGGTAGAATTAAAAAAATACTTTAAATTATAGAGAACTTTGTCCATAATGGACCCAATTCTACATTTAAGTCCCTAATCCGAAAATCACGGTGACGTTCTTATTGATCTAATGATCAAAGTCCATATATATAAATATGTATGTAAAATTCGTTTATCTGGGAAACTAATAGAACTAAATCTTTCAAATTTTGCACGAAGAACTTTAATATTCATCTGAACATTTTGGAGAAAAAAGGGCGGACTTTCATCTGGGGGGCTTGGAGCTCCCATATGAATTAAATAGAAAAATTCGTATATCTGAGAAACTATTAGAGCTAGAATCTTCAAATTTTACTGAAGAACATTTAGAGAATAACGGGCGGACTTTCAACGGGGGGCTTGGCACTTCCCATATGAATTAAATACAAAATTTTGTATATCTAGGAAACTATTAGATTATTCAAATTTTTCATAAATTAAATTAAAATCCTAATTAACGTTCGGAATAATTGGCGAAATTGCAATAATTTGGGTGGAATCTCCCATATGTAACAAATTGTATGTCTGGAAAACCATTGTATTTTTTATTCATGCCTGCATAATTTCTCACACAATTTTTGAGCTTGCTCTGTTTTGTTGTTATAATAAATATATTTGCTTCTAAAATCCCACTTTCTGATCTCTCGGATTCCGTTTTTATTTAAAATCGTTGAAAATTTAAAAACCAAACGTAGTTGAAAACTTAGCCGGCTTACAGTCGATTTTGAGACGCCGCCGACATATTTAGTGTCAGTCGCCGCCGCCTTTAATATTTGTCGGCGCAGGGCTCTGTGTGCAGTTGCAAAAATATTACCGCGAGTTTGTTGGAAAACGAAAATAAATTTACCTGTTTGTGTTTTAATAGTGATTCGAAATGCAACAATTTACGCGCAAAGAAAACTTTCTAATAGCCAATACCCTAAATTGTATACCATTTCTATTGCAAGGCCAATCAGTGTTAATAGATTTGCGCAATGATTGCTCCGTAGCAGGACGCATTGACAATGTTGATGGCCATATGAACATTAATCTCACGGAAGTGGTTTTTATTAATCGTTTGGGACAACAGTTTCCTTTTGAAGAGTTCATGATAAGAGAACGTATGATACGGCAACTACACATACCCCAACATATAGATATGACCAAAGAAATCAAAGACTGGTGTGAGCAGGGCTGTCTTAAGAGGCCACCAAGAACACGGGATGCAAATAAAGGTAAAAGAACCTTTAAACAGAAGCGGGCGCAAGAAAGACACCGTGAAATATTGCAGAATATTGAAAAATCTAAACAACAAGGTGAGTCTAAAGAAAATTAAGTTTTTTTCTTATAAAAAATGGAAAAGCTTCCTTATAAGACATCAATTTTTTAAAAAATTAAAACACTGTTTTTAAACCTTTAATTCACACTCGCTTACATGTTAAATATTTATTAAAAATTCAGTTAAACAACTACCAAAATGTAATTATTATTAAAAAAAGTGAAAACAATAGAATTGTTATAAAAAAAGAAGTCCATATTAAGTTAAAAAGTTTAAAGTTAATAAAAAAAAAAAAAAATACTTAAATTAAATTAAATAAATAATAAACAAGTGGTAAAACTAAAGCAGCCTTCGAACTGGATAAACCGAATACTGCTATCAACAATTTCCAAACGCCAAAGTAGAAGAACAACTGCAAAGCGCAGTGAAGAGCCAATAAACTAAAAATAAAATAAAAGCAAAAAGAAATAAGAATGAAAAAATAACCAAAAAATAGACTATAGACTGAACTCTAGACTATACTATAGACTAGACACTTTCACAAATACATTTACTTACATTTTATCTTTGCGTCTGGCAGCTTCCAAATTCTTGGGAGATTCCTTGCTCAAATATTCTCTAACACCCAAAATAGTATTTTGGAAATATTCTTCCCAGTTAAGTGGGCCAATATCCAAGTAAAATACTTCTTTATCTACCGGATCCATAGATTTTGCCAAAGCCAAAGTGTGTTTGCTGTCATAATGCCATTCGGTGAAAATGAATTTTTCCAAGGTATTCAAAGAATTCCAAACACTTTTGTGTAGTCTCATTAATCTTTACAACAAAGAAAGAAAATAATTATTATGGAAAGATTTAAATTATTTTAAAAACCTACATGGGTCTACCGCCTGCCAATCTAGTTAACAAATCCAAAAAGAAGCCGGGTATAAAATGGAATAATATAGCTCCCAAACGGAATAAAGTTAAACTTTTAACCAACTTTAGTTTGGGATACCTAGATTAATAAGAAAATGTTGTTAATTTTTAAGTAGATTTTGTAGAAATTGTAACTTGTAACTTACCATACAGCCGATTGTAGAGGATATTCATGTAAACAGGTATTGATTTTATTAATCAATACTTCGAAACGGAAGGGCTTATAGGTACTGGAAGTCAAGTGGAAAATTTGCAATTCAGCGGGTTTACCGCCATTTTTAAGTCTGGAAAATGGAATAAAATAAAGAAATTAAATAAAATTTGAAGAGCTTTTTTGTATATCTTAAGACGATCGGCTAGACTATAGACAAGACTAAAGCCAGGACAATAGTTCAGACTAAAGACTAGTCTATAGTCTATAGACTATGTCCAGGCTATATATTAGACTATACTGTAAAATTAGCTAGAACTGAAGGAGACTCTGGCCTAGACTAGTCTATAGTAGTATAGGCTAGACTATAGACTAGACTATAGACTAGACTATAGACTAGACTATAGACTAGACTATAGACTAGACTATAGACTAGACTATAGACTAGACTATAGACTAGACTATAAACTAGACTATAGACTAGACTATAGACTAGAATATAGACTATACTATAGACTAAACTATACACTAGACTATAGAATACAGTCCAGATTATAAACTAAACTATTATCCAGGCAATAGACTAGAGTACAGTCCAGACTATAGACTAGACTACAGTCTAGACTATAGACTAGACTACAGTCCAGACTATAAACTAGACTACAGTTCAGACTATAGACTAGACTACAGTCTAGACTATAGACTAGACTACAGTCCAGACTATAAACTAGACTACAGTTCAGACTATAGACTAGATTACTGTGCAGATTATATAGTCTAGTCTATAGTCCAGACTATATACTAGACCACAGTCGAGACTATACACTAGACTACAGTCCATATTATATACTAGACTACAGTCAGACTATATACTAGACTACAGTCCAGACTATATACTAGACTACAGTCCAGACTATATACTAGACTACAGTCCAGACTATATACTAGACTACAGTCCAGACTATTTACTAGACTACAATCCAGACTATATACTAGACTACACTCCAGACTATATACTAGACTACACTCCAGACTATATACTAGACTACAGTCTAGAATTCGTTAGATCTGGACAAGTATGGATAAAAGAAATTATTCCCAGAAACTGATTAGATTTCCCAATAAAAGGCAATTCGTTTTTACCTTGTAAAAAAAGTTTTGTAACGCGAAACAAGGATGATAGTAAACCCACGGGTTTGACACCGTTACTGGGCACCGAAGGCGAATTCGCTTTATACATTTAATCTGCCTTCTCAAGCATAATCGGTATTCTTCATGGTAATGGAAAAATCCGGCCAAAATGAGAGGCTTTTATTTTATTTATTATGATAGGAACCACATCAATACTCTTACGGGGTGTTGAACCCAGACGCACGAGAAAAATGTCACTTTCATTAAATGTCTAATGAAACACAAGCACTTTAGCACAGTTAGCCAAAGACTCGTTACCGAAAATGTGTGACAGAGTGTAACTAAAGTAGAAGCAAGGGGTTAAAGAAGAAAATCCAATAAATGGTGGTTAGATGAAGACTTCTACACAAAAAAGGTGAATTACTGAAATTATTGCTAAAAATAGATTTGTTTTGTTAAGAAAACCAACCATAAGGTGACTTTGATAAGAAGTTACAACAAAATATGGTGAATTGTTGGGTTTATGGAAAAGTTTTCAACAAAAAAAGTTGAATTGCTGTTGAAATTACAACAACAAGTGAGGTGAATTGTTAATGAAACTCAACAAAGGTGAATTGTTAAAGAAAGTCAACAAAGGTGAATTGTTGCACTATAAAATATAAAGCATACTTTAGGGAATGGTGACATGAACTTGGCAGCACTATGTTTGTGAAAAGGGTAATCAATAAGAGGGAAAGAATGGCTGGATTCGAGTGGGCCTTTCGAAATTGAACTTTTGAAAGATTAAAGCCAAAGCGAAAAGAAAATTTGACAGCCCTGAGCCAGGTCTAACCGTTCATGGGAGTGGAAAACTTTACTCCCAAATGGTGTTCAAGTTCTTTAAAGATTACTACTCACTTTAAGGCATTCACATAGTAACCGGTGGTTATAATGGCATTCACTACAACATCCACGGGAATATAATCCATAATCAAGGTGGGATCCAAAGGTAAACGTCTCAAAACACCCTTAGAGGCACCCATGAAGAAACCAGAAGGACCATTTTTCGAAATAGTCCAGCCGGGAATGGGCTGTTGCCAAACAGCAGTAACTAATGGAGAAAGAAACGAAAAATAAACAAATTATTAAAGTTTTTAAAAACATTTGAGTAGGTTTCTTCCAAACTTACTCATACTAGGCCTAACAATGCCACAGGGTATACTGCCCGCTACATTGGCCACCTCATGTTCAGCCAAATGTTTGGTAAAGGTATAGGTATTGGGATGATCCTTCAGCAATCTGAAAAAAAGCAAAATCAATTAAAATTTATCTTATTTTAAAGCCTTGCTCGCACTCACTTGGGTTCCAATTCCTTTAAGGCCTCATCATTTAAGGTCTCTGCCAAATCGATAATCTTTTCTGGATCATCAGGAGCGGGATACAATTTCTCTTCTACTTCTGTTATGTAAGAATTAACATAAGCACTGGAAACATGTACCAAAGCCTCTAACTTAGACAATTGTTTACACAATTCCACCACACGGCGGGTACCTCTCAAATTAATATTGGTGGTTTCCTTTAAAGTTTGAAAGAAGTCCAAGGTGGCGGCTGAATGAAAGACTACATGAACATTATTGATTAACAGCTGACGATCAGCTTCTGAAATGCCCAAATGTTCCTGACCCACATCACCCTCAATGGGATGGATTTTGGAAAAACGTGATTCTAAATTTTGTTCTTTAAATTTATTAAATACCGAATTCTTTTTGAGTTCTTCCAAACGCTGCTCAACAGATTTGCCTTTTTTGGCTCTCATCAAGAGATAAACTGTACCAATTTCGGGTATATCACGTAAAAGCTTTTCTACGATAGTAACACCCACGAAACCGGTGGCTCCGGTAATGAAAACATTTTTACCGGCATAGAATTTTTTAATGGGAGAAGATAGATTTCTGGAAAAAATGGAAATTATTGGAAATATAAGTAACATGTTACTATAGCTTATTATAAAGTTCAATTGATCTTTTTAATTTAATTATAGTTTTTTTTTTTTTTGTATAACCTAATACAGCTAATTGTTGTGACGTGTTTTAATTATCGGATGTTGTATTACTAGAATACTCTAGAGTTAATGGAAAATTTAAAAAACATTGTTATGGCTTATAATTTGTTTAATGTTTGCTCAATGCTTGTAGGTAAAAAGATCACGTAAAATCTGATTTAATTTACACTCTTTTGTGAGTTATTTATGATAAGAATCAGTTGAAATTGTGCTATTTGAAGAAAAGTACGGGATATTTAGGCTTCCTTTCGGTTATAACTCTTAGCAACTTCTTAATTTTCTTCCAATTATAATCTGGTTGCCTTGTCCAGATCCGATCTCTGCCTGACTGATACTTGGTCTTAAATCTAGTTTATAGTCTTGACTATAAACTAGACTATAGGCTAGACTATAGACTAGACTATAGACTAGACTATAGACTAGACTATAGACTAGACTATAGACTAGACTAGACTAGACTATAGACTAGACTAGACTATAGACTAGACTATAGACTAGACTATAGACTAGACTATAGACTAGACTATAGACTAGACTATAGACTAGACTATAGACTAGACTATAGACTAGACTATAGACTAGACTATAGACTAGACTATAGACTAGACTATAGACTAGACTATAGACTAGACTATAGACTAGACTAGACTAGACTATAGACTAGACTATAGACTAGACTATAGACTAGACTATAGACTAGACTATAGACTAGACTATAGACTAGACTATAGACTAGACTATAGACTAGACTATAGACTAGACTATAGACTAGACTATAGACTAGACTATAGACTAGACTATAGACTAGGACTATAGACTAGCTATAGACTAGACTATAGACTAGACTATAGACTAGACTAT